GTGTGTGTGTGTGTGTGTGTGTGTGTGTGTGTGTGTGTAAAATATGTGTATAGACTTATGTTTTATTAATTTAAAAACAGTTATTCACCTATTTACTGGGGTAGTATTCTTTTTTTTCCCATCATAATTCAGCGTAAATGAATTCCCTAGACTTAAATAAAATTAGTGGTGATCTTGGAGTCCTTTTTAAAATGCACATTAAGCTTTACTTCTCCTCAATGATTAAACCGTCTGTATAGAGTCATGTTATATATGTTTGTGTATAATTTTATGAAAATACAACATTTTGTCCCCACTGCACTTGTTGATTCATGCGTTAGATAGTTTGATGCCAGTAACGTTGTTTAGATACTTTAACATTATCAAAATGTCTGCTATTGTGCTTTTGTTACAGACGGGACATTTAGCCATGGAGACTTTATTGTCCCTGACCTCAAAGAGGGCAGGTGATTGGTTCAAAGAGGAGCTGCGCTTGCTTGGAGGCCTGGACCATATTGTAGACAAAGGTAGAGTATGTCCGTGGGCTTCCTTCGTGGTTTGTTTCTTCTACATCAGTGTTTCCAAACCTGATCCTCAGGGACCTGCAGACACTGTCCCGGTTTTTGCTCCCTCCTACCGAAAGCTGAGGGGGAGCAAAAACACATGGATCAGCTGCGGGTCCTGGTGAACTAGGTTGGGAAACGCTGTTCTAAATTCAACCGTCGTCACATTTGGGGGATCAGTCAATAGTGAATCTTGTTTTGCATATAGTTAAGTGTGGTTTTTTTTTTCTTTCTCTAATAACTTCACTCTCACCACTAGTATTTTGCTTTGTTTAGTCTAAAGTCAGGGGATTAACTGGGCTGCTGGAAGCCAGGAGTGCCTTGTAAAATGAGTGATTTCATAATCCTGCTCTGAGTGATGCACTGTGGTTAAGTGTAATGACTGGAAAATGCTGTTGGGGGCCCGTATGACTGTAAGTGCCCTTTAATAGTAGTACAGAGGTAAATCTGTCTCTCTTTCTCCTTCAGTGAAAGAGTGTGTTGAAAACCTAAGTGAAGAAGATGACAAGGAGAACCTGGGTGCATCTTTATGGGGAGCTGAGAGGTGTCTCCGAGTGCTTGAAAGTGTAAATGCTATTTTATTTTTAAAGTGGCTAAAATTGAATCCGAGGCAGGATAAGTGCCTCTGAGTTTTTAGGTCTCTTTGAATTTCTGCATATAAAGCTTAGCTCTGCAAGTTTTGGAACAAAATACTTAAGCAAAGGAGTATTTATAATATTTCAATGCAACTTAAGTGCCTGTTCAGCAATGGTTTGTAATTTATACATGTTTGTTTTAGGTCTGATCATAATCCTATGAGATAAAATACCTTAAAGAGCTGCCTGTTCCTGAATTTATGAGTGTATGCTTATTTTAAATGTTATGTGGTAACCTGGATACTTCCTTGAGGTTATTTCTGGTGTAGGTTGTATTCAGAATTTGAGCAATTGGATTTCTTTAAGCGTATGTCTTTGTTTGTTACAGGTGACTGTGCACAACCCAGAGAACCAGAACTACTTGATAGCTTACAAGGAATCTCAGCTCATTGTCTCTTCTGCCAGGTAATCCCTCTCCCTTAATTTCCTTGCAGTTTTATATGTTAGTTTCTGCCATTTTCCCTCTATAAAAAAAACTAGCGACACTAAGCTCTCGAAATCGTGTTAAATATATCTCTTCCTGTCTCGACGCAAAGTCCCCTCCAACTGTTAACTTTGTCAGCGTGCCTGTAAGCAGTTATGTAACCGTGCTCTTCCCCGGCTCCTCCGTCGCCGCCCCCAGGGGCCTGCGGCACTGCGAGGCCATGATCCAGCGCTATAGCTGCCAGGTGGACTCAGCGCCGCGCCGAGCGCTTTGCCGCTTCAGCAGCGTAGGCAAGGCCGTGGAGGACTGCATGAGGGCCATCATTGGGGTTTTGCTCAACCTCACCCATGACAACGGTACCGTCACCCGCACTGTCCCCCCCCCGGCTGGGGCGAGCCGGTCTTTCCATTATGTGTTTGAATATTTAGTAGATAGTAACTTCAGCGAATACCAACTCGGAATACTTTTGTCATTTTTTTTTTTTCATTCCTCCAAAATATTCTTGTGGATCCTTTATATACTTTAATATTCAGATTAGGATTTTGACATTCTGGTCCTTCAGTTCGGCCTTGTAAAAATAGGAACGTTTTGGTTCATTGTACCACTGAAAGGTAAACTTCTAAAGCCTGGATACATTTCCAAGTATCTTGCTATCTGCCTTTTTACTCATTTTCCTAAATCTGCTTAATCTTCCCATTTTTCCTTCAGCCGCTATGATCCTAGAAGGCCAGCCTTGTGCTGGGACCATAAATTCTTAAGTATAGCTCGGGCTTTTTGGGATAAGCCTGCAGTCTGCTTGGCCATTAATGAGTCTCCAATTTTCAACTTCTTTAAATTCTGCCTTTGCATTAATTTAAGCTTGTTAATAGAAGCAGGGAAAATGTGTTTTGTTTTGCAAATGCTTTTCTACAGTTGGTCTCTTCTCTCTCCAGAATGGGGAAGCACCAAAACTGGGGAGCAGGAAGGCCTCATCATAACAGCCTTGAACTGCGTGTTGCGGGTCCCTCAGTATCTACCTCAGGAGCAGAGATTCGATATCAGAGTACTGGTGAGCAAAGCGTCCTTCCTAAGCTTCTCTCTTACTGACCTGTGTCTGTTACAATGAGCTTGTCAACTCAATGGTTCACTTAACCACATTTTGGTCCTTTTTGCAGGGCCTGGGTCTGCTGATCAATCTAGTGGAGTATAGTGCCAGAAACCGGCACTGCTTGGTGGAGATGGAGGTGGACACTGTACCCTTCGATTCCATCTGCGTGGGAGAAGGGGAGGAGTTGAAGACGGAGGGCTCCTTTACTGCCATTTCGTCCTTGGTTCAGGTACATGTCCAAGATTGTGGAGGCTAGCATCTTTTGCATGAGATTAGCGGAAATCGATGACCTTATTAATAGGCTAAATTAGCTAGGTTTTACTTCAGCATATAATGAGTGTAAGTACAGCGTTCCACATGGACACTAAAGACATCCACAAGGTGTTCAGTGTACCACGATGGTCTGCTTATCTGTGTGTCGCTCTCTGCAGCTTTTTCTCCAGCGAGAGCGGGCAGCGTTGCTGGCCGAGACCGAGACGGACGACTTCATCAGCGACGCACCTAAACCGCAGCCGGATCAAAGCGGCGAATGGCAGGAAACTTCTGGAGAGATCCAATGGGTCGCCTCTGAGAACAATGACAAGGCTGATAACAAGGAAAAGAAAGAGGAGGAAGAAGAGGAGCTGGACCTGAACAAAGGTAATGCAGTGTCAGCTTCATCAAAGCCCCGTATATCTGAATGCCAGCCGTTACTTCGTTTTGTGTAATTTTGATAGCCGCACATTTTTTCTGCATGTGCACCTTATTAGGTGCTCAGGTGAAGCATCTGATCATCGGTCTGTCACATATTATTCCTTCTTCCCTTCTCTCTGGTGATGTTCTTTGTTGTGTCTCAAAGCAAGTCTCTGAATAAGGATTGGATCCGAATTTTGTTGGTTACTGGTATTACTGGAACCCCACCCTGGATGCCTTCCTCAGTGTAAAAAAACAAAAAACCCAAAGCAGTTTTCAACCAGGCGATCTTTCATATCATCGGCTTTTCCTTATTTGTGTTGTCAGTGTGTCTCTCATCACCCCCTTTTTGCCAGTCTGCTCCTTCACGTCTTTCTCTCTGCAATTTCAGCTCTCCAGCATGCTGGGAAGCATATGGAGGACAGTATTGTGGCTTCATACACTGCACTGCTGCTGGGCTGCCTCTGCCAGGAGAGTCCTGTAAGTCACCCGGCCTCCCAGCCTCACCCATTAGTACCGCTACAGTTAGGCAAAGTCTGCTTTCATTCACTTGGAACTTTTATATATAAGCATATAATCCAGACTGTAGAAGTACAACATTTTAATTCTTGTTCTCTGTTAATATATTATATCAATAGGTTATGTTATAGTACTTTTAGTTACATTTTGTAATTTTTAAATGTGATTTCAGAACAGTATGTCTTCAGAAATGCAACCTTGAAAGTACAACTCCATAATAATGTGGGTGATTTGTCAAAATTACTTCCCATCCCTTTAAATACAAAAATTGAAACTGGCTGAGATGTTGCCTGGTAACAATAATGAGCCGCTCAGTTGGATGCTGGTTTGAAATTTTGAAATTGAAAGTCATCATTTGAAAAAATAGTGATTCTTTGATATTGTGACCCATAGATATGCCTGGGTTTCTATTTCAATGTGAAGGTTGCTCCGTTTGTGTAGCAGCAGCATATTTGGTGCAGCGCTAATGTAAACTGCATGGTCTTGCGTTGATGAGTTGTTACAGACATTTTGAATTTACCACATAGGTACCATCTAGGCGGAAGTGTGCGATATTTAGGATTTATTCATTTATTTATTTATTGCCAAGACACTCAACATGAATATAGAACCTTCCTTTTTGTGTCTTTCAGATGAATGTGACTGCTGTGAGGGACATTTTACCAAAAGGAGATTTCTCAATAATGACAGAAATGCTCAAGAAGTTCTTGAATTTCATGAATCTTACAGTAAGTATGTCTTGTATTGTTTGCAAGTGTAGTCTTTGTCAGTTCTGCCGTTTCTCTAACAATCTCTGTTGCCCCCCCTATAGTGTGCTGTGGGCACGACAGGGCAGAAGTCCATCTCCCGGGTTATTGACTATCTTGAACACTGTTAGCAGCTTGGTCCCTTTGCCCGTGTCAGCATCACTTGCCTGTGGTAGATGGTAACAGGGAAGAACCACCAGATAGGTCAGCACCCATTTATCATCGGCGAAATTTCAAGGACTTTAAAATTAAATAATCTGTAACTGATCATTTTTATTTCAGCTTTTTACCTGTATTTTTTCTGAGTTTCAGAAACCAACTCGGTGTATAAAGTTTTTCAAAATTCCGTGGCTCAGCAGGGGGATGGGATCTGTATGTAGTGAAATGTTTACATTTTTTAATCTCTCTGAACTCTCCTGTAATTTAGGTGCAAATCCTACTATCCCCTGAAATAATTTATTGTTTTGTTATGAAGCAGTAATTATCAGCTAATTTCAATTGTGAAAGGTTTTAAGCTTATACATATAAACTATTAAAAACAAGCAGGATTTTTTTTTCCCAGTACTGTTAAAGCTTTTGTCCCCATCGCGTAAATGTAGATCAGGAATTTCTGAATGGGTAAATGTTTGATATTTAATTTGTTTTATCTTGAGAGAAGGTTGAGTAATATTTCCGTTTGATGCTGATCTTTGTGAACTCTGCATATGCTGGTAAATAAACTGTTCCATTGAAGCTTCATCTATTTGCACAGGGAAACAAATCTAGCATTCAAGGTGTCATTAGTGATATGTTGCAGTACACGCCAGAAGCTATTTTAATGTTCTTTTTGCCTTTTTGTTCTCCCTCTCTGATTAGTTGTTTAAATACCAGTAAAGTTGTAATGCTAGGATTAAGTAAACCCTATGAAACCAGTGTCACCTTTATATGGACCATTTTCATAGGGACACATTTCCATATGATGATCTCAGTGAGGTAATAAAAACTTAGACTATGTGGAACATTCATGCAAGAATTCCCATTTCTGATTGGTCCCTTTTCCGAGACTTGTGTTTTGGCAATACAGTTGAATGAGTTGGATCAACTTTTTAGCGTTTCAGAGTTGACTGGGGAAAAAAAAGAATGTTTGTCATTTTGTACTGTTTGAAGAGAATGTCTTTACAAACCTGGACATTAACACTAGCTAGCATGATCTGAAGTCCGACCAGCTGTTAGCTGCCTCACATTGGTTGCGTATAGTTGGGAGACCGGATGCGTCATCGTCTCTGTTGCTCGTTATGTCAGCAGCAGAATACATGCTAGTCATTTATGGAAAGCATCTTGCCAGAATCAATGTTCTTGGTTCAGGCCAAAGAGGGATTCACCGTTGTGAATTATGTGACTAGTTGAACATTCACTTTTTGTCCCGGAATTAAAATGCTGAACCGTTAAGTAAGTGTTACTCATCAGTTAAAGGTGAGAGGTTGAGGCTGTTTTAGGTTGTTCTGATTTCTCGTCAAAGATCAAAACATTTCTAAAATTAAATATATGAACGGTGCAAGGAAAGACTATTATCCCACCCCTCCGTTACACCTAACCTGCTGTTGTGGAGCTTTTTATCATTATGATGACCTTCAATATGAAGAACTCTTTCATTTTAAATTCATTTAAGAATTTTTATATTTATAAATGTAATTCTGCTCAGTCACTGTCTTTTATGGCATAGCATTAGTTTTTAATCTCACTAGTTCATAATGTAAGACCAAACAGAACTGTTGGTTAGTGAGGGTCCTCAGGCCACTCAGACTCTGTTCAAATCTTTGGCGGGTTCTTTATTTTTCTTTCTATTTTGTATGTTGTGTCTTTCCAGCCTTATGTTTCTGCAGTGCAGAGGCCTTGTCCGTACCCCAATTTTCAGATTTAGCAGTAGTGTATACATACCTACTAATATATTGCCAGAACCGCTACCCAGAATGAGAGGAACACACAAGTTCCCTCTGTCTCGCACCCCAAGTTGACCTCTGTAAGCTAAGCGTACAAGCAGTTTACTTAGAGTATGATTTCAATATGAATGGAAAGCAAATTGTTGTACATATATATGTAAATATTGGTTATTGGGAATTAGAATTGTAGAATACTTTTCTGAATCCAATCCTATTTTTATTTTTTTACAGTATTTCTCATTTATTTGACAAAGTATAAAGTCAACTGCAGGACAAAGTTTGTACCAGTTTCAAGAATGTTATGTGTAAATAATTTTAACTTCAATAAAAATTGCTACTTTCGGTATACTTTTTTTCTCTTTGTAGCCCTTTTTCCGTGTATGGGAGTGTATTTTTGATAGCATGTCTTTCTGCCTAGCTGCCAAAGTGGAGAAGTTACAATAAAATTATTTGAAAAGGACGAAGCTGCTGTGTCATTTCTGGTACTGTGGTCGGCACCTTATTTAACTGTACAGTAGTATTTGGCTTCATAATGGTATTTCTGTGTCATTCACCTGTCATTTTTATTAAATGAAACAAGGGTTATTCTATCTTGTAATTCGTAGTATAGATGCTAAAATGCTTTATAGTGTGTAAAGATTCTTGTGCCCTTCACTTGTATGAATGAGTATTTCACTTTATTGGGATTGGTGTGCTACACGCCAAGGAGATGACGGTGTACTGTTATGTCATTTTAAAGATCATTTTATGAATGATATTGGCAGACAGTTACAAATCAACATTTTTAAAAGTCATTATTGCATTACTGCTGTTCAGTCGAATAGCACGATTGTGCCCTTAGGTGTCCGCTGGGAGTCATCACTCTGGGAGTCATCACTCTGGGAGTCATCACTCTGGGAGTCATCACTCTGGGAGTCATCACACTGGGAATCATCACTCTGGGAGTCATCCCACTGGGAGTCATCACTCTGGGAGTCATCCCTATGGTCTTTTTCTCACTGGTATGTGCTACTGCTTGCCTTGATGTAGAGTACATCTGTTATGTTTAGGTTTGTAGGTTTGTTTCCCTAAGCTCATGTGCTGGAGAATGTTCAGAATCTAACCTTCTGCTTTAGTCTGGTTAACTCATCCTTAAATATCCTTAAATATTTTTCTTATTTTGATTTTAAGTGGTGCTCAACCCTTAATTCCTTAATCTGGCTGGTTCATGTCCCAGGAACAGCTCTAGCACAATTTTCCTTTTTGTAAAATTAAAAAAAAACTTATGATAAAGATGTAAACATGCATTGCATGTTCTTCAGTCTCTTTTGTCATCATTTTTCATACTGCCCAATTTATGTTTCTTGACTATAACATCTTTGAACAGTTCTCTGTGAAATGTCTTTGATCCAAAGATTCCATGTCCACTGTATACATGGTTGGACAATGAAACTGAAACCCTGGACAATAGTGTTTGAGTTTGGCCACCTGGCCGCACATATATAAGGATACAATCTTCACACATTCCATCCGTAAGAGCAGAGTATGAAGGTTGAATTAGCAGAGCAATAGCACAGCTGTACATAAAATATCGCAATCCACACAACATTATGGGAGACTCGTCTTGATTTACGCTGTTTCTACAGACCATCTATAGTGCGACAGCGCATAATAAACCCTGAAAGTTTCAGAGGTTCTCCCACGCTTGGAACCATCTCCAAGCAGGTGTGTATTCTCAAGGACCATTTTATCGAAGACGATCTTCCATGGTGCCATTTATAAAATTTGCTTATCAGAAACAGAGCACAGTTATACAGATGATAGAGAAGAAACGTTCATTTGCGTCTTTTTTTTAATGGCTGTTTCTCCTGAGATATAGAGTTATCATTAGTGTATTTTAAAATAATCAGCTGCACAAAAACCAGTATCTATGGTGAGTTGTAAGAAATGAGAAATAATGTTACACTAAAACTACTCGTTTTGAGATTATCCATAATTATGCATCTGTGATTTATAAAGGATTGTTTATGCATGTTAAAGAATCAGTATCTTTGTATGTCCCTTAATTAACTTCCCTAGCTAACATTGATCTCCCGTTATCCAAATACCCAACCCGATTGCAATCCATTTCTCTCTCATCTGTTCTTGAATGTTTTGTCCTGCCTGTAGTCTCACAGGTCTAGGGTTATGGGGTTTGAATTCCACCTCTTACTCTGTGCGTATTTCTGCCTCTTTCCTCGTAGTCCAAAAGCTTTTTTTTTTTTCTTCCTTTCCCCCAATACTGAACATAGAATACAGAACCTGTGTGTTTTGTCATTCAGATGCAGGTGCTTGCTTGGATTCATATTCTACTCAATGGAACTGGTGACTCTAAATTGGCCAGTGTTCGGTCTGTGATGCACTAATATCCAATCCCCGTTCTGGTTCTCAAGGCATCTTCGGTTCCAGACTCGCTATGATCCAGTACTAGATACTATTGGAAAATGGATGCGTGGATTCTCTCTATGCCACTGTAAACCACAGAAAGCTGTACCAGTAAGATAATTCAATTTAAAAATCAGTAATGCCAAAGGCACTCTTCTACATTTAATCCAGTTACCTAAATTCTATTTTCTGTGCCATTTTGAATGATGAACTGGTGTACAAAAATGTTTTACAGCGAAAGGCATTCAATGCATGTTTTGTTGAGTATTATTAGAACTATTCACATAGTTGGAATGTACAGCCGGTGATATTGAGTCCTGATTAAATTGTATTAGATGCTGTGCTCTACTTTACTTAGAGTTCCCAAACACATTTCCTTGCAATAATAATGAGCACTGTATTACTTGAAGAGTCTAATGAATACTATTATATGCATTTTAGATATTATGTTAATTATTTAAGTATTATTACTGGTAAAAAACTTTCATTGTCCAAATATATCCAGATAGTGTTGAAAGATGCATGAATGTGGAATTAATTTTCATGAATATACAAAAATGTGTTGCGGTGGCACTTTAAAAATTAGCCGGTGAATATTTGCATTAACAGTCATTAGATGACAGGGTCATTTCTGCCAGCTAAATTTAAAACTAGAATAATGGCTATAATTAGAAACAATTTAAAGAAGTGGGATAAAGACTGGTAATGTAACTTTGTAAAAGAAGAACGATACATTCTAACAGATGATGATGAATTCGACAATACTAGACTGCACCACAGCGAAAGACAAAAGGTTCTGGAAAATGAAAAAGATGATTAAAAAATGGGTTGATGGAGTAGAAGACAGGAATAACATCATTCCCATTACGTGGATTTCTTTTTCCTAGTTGCTACTGTTAAATCATAATCCAATCCTGGTCCCAGGGTTGAGTTTAAAAAATGTACAAGAATGTATCAGAGGTTTCAATGGCAAGTTCTGAACACAATTTAGCAGCATTCATTATTCAGAATAATCAAGGCCATTTATCATTACTGAAGGTGCTTTAAAAAGCTGTTTTTTTACAAACATCAGAGAGGAAAATTTATTGCTAAATACATAAAATAAAAACAACAGTATGTAAATTACAGAACTATTAACATGATGCTTTATATAAATTAACTTAGGGTTTGCATACTAGTGCAGTAAATACACAGAAAGCACGGTTGGGGCCATTCCGGAATGCATTGATCAATTCCAGTCCAAATCAGGAAATGGAACTGGAGCTGGGATTGGAAAAAAAACTACGGGGAACAGAATTGGAGTTGAATTTGAATTTCAGGGAGATTTAAGTTTCAACTCCAGTTCCATTTCCTGATTTGGACTGGAATTGATCAATGCATTCCAGAATGGCCCCAACCCTGATAGAAAGTCCATCCATCCATTTTCTGTAGCCACTTATCCTCTTCACTGTCACAGTGGGTCTTAGGGCACCACAGGCTGTACTCACACCAACAGGCAGTCTGCTAACTCCAATGAACCACAGCATGGTTTTGGACTGCGGGGGGAAGCCGCAGTTCACCAGAGGAAACCCCACAAAAGTGAAGCCATGGTAGAGACTCGAACCCTGATCCCAGAGGTGGGAGGCACATGCTAACCATTGTACCACCCTGCCAAATGTAAAGTATGTAAAGCTTTAATTATCACATACACATAATCCTATTTAGTACAATGTGCAGTGAAATGTATTACCTGGCCCCAGACTGTGAATACATATTTTTTCTATACACTTAACATTCAATACATAAATGTATTAAACACAGTGATAAATATTCTTAAAAAGGCATAAAACTTCATAGCCATGTTTATTATGCATCATGAATGTTCTATGAAGTTCTCATTTATAATGCACTATAAATGCCATCATAATGCCTTATAATCGCTTATACTGGCCAGGTGGTGTTAGCATAAAGCTCGTCATGCACTTAGTTAAGGATATCTGCTAAGTGTTGGTGTACAGCAGTGGAGAGGCCTGCTAAAGTGTGCTTAACCAGCTGTGCAAATAAAGGCCCCGAGCAGTGACATCGCAGCTAGAAGGGGGGTTGGCATGGAGTCAGTAACCTCCCGTATGATTGCCCAGTAAGGCCTGCTTTGAGCAATCTAAGTGTATGTTTGTATTGGTGTTGATAACATTTGCTGGTCTGATTACCCGCAGGAGGACCGGGTGTCACTGAATGCCCACATACAGTTTGCAAAAATACTATCAAGCATCAGTCCTTTATCTGATCTGCATGCTACAGACACTCACATTAGCCTAAAATTGTCGTGTAGATTTATAATACTAGCTATAGATATTGTTTTTGTAGCCAAAGTAATTGTACTGGACGCTAGCCAAGATAGCATGCTCATTTGTATTTGTCTGTTTTTTTTTTTTTTTTTTTTGTATATTTTTTGCAAATTTTATCAGAGCTATTTCCTACATTAGATAATACTTTATTTTCATGTTACTGATTTTTATGAATTTCCTGTAACAGAACAGACAGCGAGGCACACTTAAATGAAAGTCAGAACAAGCATCTGTCTGTATTTCCCACGAAACCCGTTTCCCTGCTCTGTTACGCATTCTCTCCCATGAACACGTTTTTCTAAAAGGACAGGCTGTTGCATATATACACAGAAGGAATTTGTTTCACTTCACACAGGTCTGACAATGCATTCCGCAACGAATAACACTAATTTGAAAATTATTTAAAAAATAAGTGAGTAAATAAAACTCTTGGCTTTTAACATGTATTACAATAACTGCTGTTTATGTCAGAGTCCCTCTGGCCCCCACATCATTAGTTATATTCTTGGCCCCCTGCAAGACAAATGGAAAGCTATTGATGCAGCCACCCGACTGTGAGATGTCAGGGAGGGTTAATCAGCTGTGCTGCTTTGCTAATGAAGAACCATTGGCTTTGTCATCTTTGTAGTGAGGTCCCCAGATTGTACGGCATGATAAAAAGCTCAAGAGAAGAAGAACAAGGCTCATTTAAGATGATTCTCCCACTCAGACCTGTGACCCTGACTAGGATAAA